ATTTAACAATGTATATGCATATCAAACCATGGAGTGGTATATTGTTTAAATATAAACAATCTGTATTTGTTCATTATGTGTCAACAAAGCTCAAAAAGATCGCTGTATTGAATGATTTTTTTCATGGGACTTGTCTCATAATAAATGATCACGTATTGCTCTGGTGACTATTTGTAACACTGTTCTTAATTTACTTTCTGTACTTTATGATAATTACAAAATAATTATAATGTATCTTGACATTTTTCTCTTTAATGTTATAAACATTATATTTAAACCACTATATTAACAAGTATTTTCTATTGGTGCCTACCCAAGTAGGTTAGAATGTAGGGTCCCTACCTAAGTATAAGTAAGTTTAACATTCTTTGCTGCCTTGTCCTACCAAGGCACCAATTTCACCATCCAAAGCCACAATGAGATAAAAATGTCACCTTTGTGAATGATTTGTCTTCTTTCTGAAAGCCAATATGGCAAAATCCTCTTTTGCATTTTCCACTGTAGTCTCTATTTCTGGTTTCTTAATCTTACTCCTTGGTTCACTTTTATTCTAATCCTTAACAGAGCAAAGCTTGCTTCCTGTTGTGCTGCTGTTCAGAACTTCATTGTTTCTCAAAATAACACTCCAGCTGGGACTAACATGAGTTATGAGGTGGAAAGTAAAAATGAAATCCTGATAAGAGAGAACATTTTTAATATGTTTCCAGTGGTGAGTAAAGATTTGTTGCGGTTTGTTTGTGACACCATTCCATGTGAATTTTCTCTTACTTTAAGTTATAAGTTACAATCATGGAGGGGTTAATTAAAATACCATACTGTTTTGTTGTATAAGATATGTAAGTGGTCCATTTTAAAAAGGGGATTTTGAATGCAGGGTGGCTCTGAAGGGAATGATGCTCATATCTTAAATGATAAGCACTCCCAGAACTGGAGTCTTCATGGCTGATCCTTAAATGAGGTGAAATAATGGGACTTTCTGCCAAGTGAGTATGAGGGCTTGGGAAGATGAGCATTTCTCACCTGAAATAAAATTCTTTCAGGGGTCAGTTTGGGTGACTAAATCAATTCCTTCACAAAGAACTCTATAGGTTGATATGGCTCATCTTTGGGAAGTAAATATGTAAGAATTTATGGCCAATAAACATAACCTCCAAAAGATAGAAATCTTTGGTGTGTTCACTGATGTATTCCAAGCTCCTAAAACATTCCTTAGTACATATATGCATTCATTACTTATTCATTAAATAAACTAATGAGTAATGATATAGCATCATTACAAGAAGAAACTTCTCCCTTAATATAAATCCAAACTTGGGGTAAATTATTATCATGAAGAACGTCCCATTGGTTATAAACATACACTCTCAGGCATCTTTTTTTTATTTGGTTAAAAGCAATTAGGCCAAGTCAACACTGTCAAAAAGGGAATCACTTTATATATGCATTTCATCAACTGTAGACTATTTTTAAGTTCTTAAAATTAATTTTCTTTTGTTGCTCCATAGACTTCTTTCAACTAATTTATTGTTGGTCATGTAAGTTCCATTTTTAAAAAATGTTATAATTCAAAGGAAGAATACTTAGCTGGGAATGGATGAGAAGTAAATAGAAAAATGTTGCATATTTTCTGGAAGGAAAGGGAGACCAAAAATAACTCAGAAAACATTCTAAAAATGCCCTCATGATACATTGAAATTACAATTAATTGTAAAGAGAAAAGCTCAAGAATATTTATACTTCTTGTCTGTCAAGGAAAGCCTTGGAGATTTTCACAGTGAGAACTCTTTTACCCATGCAATTTTTGCTAGTGTTTTCCTTGCTTCAGACTAACCAAAACAGAGGAGCAGCAGGTTCTTTTGCTTCTAATTGGCACCTTGAAAAGAATAACTTAACACAGTCTTGATAAGTCTATATGTGATTAACAACAGCACATCCATTTCCAAATTTATACAGGTATTTTTAATTGTGGGGAGGAAATTCTGAAGTCAGTGCAAAAACAGCTGCAAAGTTAGGGCTTTTCTGTGTTGCTTAAACATTCCCTTTCCATGGCTGTGGCATCTGGGGCAGCTGACCTCTTTTCCACCGTGCTCCCTGTGTGCCCGCCCTGCCCTGTTCTGCTCTGTGGCCCTCATCTCAGGAGAGCTGTGAGGCACACAGCAAGCAGACCACAACAGGTGCTTTTGATTACATGTTGTGAAGTCACTTCCTCCAGTTACTTGAAAAGAAAATAACAAAGTTGGTTTTCAACTAGAATGAGCAATGAGCAGGCAATTGAGTTGTGCAAATTTGCCTCTTAGGAGACTTATTTCAAGGAACGTTGAAAGTTGTAATTTATTTAAACTCTTACTGAACATGAGATCCCAAAGCATATGGATTTTTCCCCAGTTGACCAAGAAACCAGAGAAAAACATGCATTATTCTGAGTGCTTAATCGGAGATATGTTTCCCTCAGTAATCTTTTCTATTGTACCATAAAGAGCCTATTTGCACTCTACCCTATCTATAAAATTCAGAATTTATGGTGGAACTGTTTAGTAAATACTGTCTAAAGACATCTTAAGGTAGAAGTTCGGTGGCTTGAAATAGCCTGAGGTATCTGGGAACCCTTCATTTAAGAGCCAGGCACTTGGCTAGGCACAGCATATATAAATAGAATGAAGGCACATGCTTAAACTAATATTGTATGCATTGAATGTGAGAAGTTGTGTGATGGTGTGCTGGTTAAGAGCATGGACTCTACAAAGGACTGCATGAGTTTGAATCCCAGCTTTGCCACTTTCCAGCCATTGCATAAACTTATACCTCGGTTTTCCCAACTGTAAAATGCTCATAAGGTTGTATGGATTTCACGTGTTAATGAGTAGTACATGTGGAACCATGCCTCTCATGTAAAAACCACAATATTATTTCTGATTTTTAGAGATAAACCTGTGCATGCTGAAACAGAGTTCCCTTTGTTTGTTTGGCATCTCCTAGATGCAGCATCAGGGGCATATGGCTGTCCTAGTGACGAGGGGCCATTGGGCTGCTCAAAACCACACTGGCACTGGCAGTGGTGTTGGTAAACTGGCTTTTGGCAGTAGGGTGCCCCGATTTATAGTGTTTGCTGATTTTAGTGGTACAGATACCCCCACCACTGCCTATTTTAATTTACCAATGGTTTAATAACCAACTCACAAAATTCCTGCATATTTACCAGCTGGCTGCTGCAGGTGGGCTCAGGCACAATACGTGGGCTGTGCCAGGGTGGGCCACCGAATAGTCACTGTGCCCATTGCCTCATGCCAGCTCTGCAGCGAATGATGAGGGGGAGTTAAAGTGATACACACACTCCCTGCCCTTGAGGACCTACCCACGAATTCTAGAGACAAAGTAGGTGAGTCTGGTCCTCTCAGCTGCCACCCTTCCTGCTGGGCAAGGTCACATCATTACTTCAAGGAAAGCGACCAGAAAAGAAGTGTGGTGTTGCACTGAAAAGTCATGTTTCACACTGGGGAGGATTTGATATAAACAGGACATCTTTTGGGGTAAGCAGTTGGGTCATTGCGGGAAATAAAAAAGGCCCAGGCCTTGGAATGTTGGCCCATGTTAGTAGGCCTGAATCCCGGTGGCTGGCCATCTGCAGAGACGGCAGGCACAAATCTCATACCATCTCTGAGCCTGAAGGTCTAACTGTGTAAGAAGCACAGGCAACTGTCACTAAATTAACTACTAATTTTATGTCCAAGAACAGAGGTTTAATGCTACTTTCCAGTGGCTTCATTTTCTCTTTTTTTTGCCAAAAACGTTCCTGTCTGTCTGTTGGAAGGGCACAGCATGGGATTTTGCCATTCTCGTTGTATTTGCTTAATTATATAGATGTAAAATACATCACATTACATTTTTGTAAAAAAATGTACTATTACACTATATTGTAGATGATATGCTGTGTACTCCTCTCCAGAGAAATGAAACTTGGGTTTATAGGATTTTGTATTTTATGTCTTAAGTTGAGCAAGATGCTATGGTGTAGCTACTTCTTTTTCTTTCCTTAGCATGTGTAAAAATTAAGCCACTTGCACTGATGTGACGGTGCCTCTGGCTCTGAAGCTGCGTGTTTTTCATGGTAGTTCCCCCTCCCTCCCGGCAGTCTCAGCCGCTCGCCGAGTACCCGTATGGTCGGTGTGCGGTGGTCGGAAACGGGGGCATCCTGAATCAGTCTCTCTGCGGAGCCGAAATTGACAAATCTGACTTCGTTTTTAGGTGAGACTTGTCAAATCAGTTTCTTTGAACCCAAAGATCAGTTAGATTTTTTTAAAGGACATTTTGACCCTGTACATTTTGACTTTTGATTTGCATTGCTTAAGTCTACGAGTTATCTAGGTAGGCTTTCTTGAAGCGTTAACTGGACTATGAGTTCCTCAGAATGTTGATACCAGAAGGATAAACATGTGTTATGGTTACTTAATTCTCTGACACTCTGCATGAAACCACGGTAAAAGATGGTCTTCACCGCAGGACTTGTCAGAGCCTTCTGTGCATTAAGGCTGTAAACTGGACTCTAAATAGCAACATTTCCCAGGTTCACCTGACCTTAAAAACTTTTTGTTAATGGCACATTTTAAGAAATTTTTTTCTGAGACAGTACTTGAGACAATGCTGATCTAGGCATGTATAGCAAGGCCAATGTCATTGTTTATTTAGTTTTCTGGCTTGGGAAAAAAAAAGTTGTGCAGCTTCTAAAATCTGGTCTTTTTAAATGTTTATATCTCAATAGCAGCTAGCTTGCAAAAACAGAAACAAAAGCGGTTTCTCTGGGTGCCTGTGTAATAATAAGCCAACCTATGGAGCTTCTCCACTTTAGAATATGATGGAAAAGTGATTCATCCCTGTTAGGACAGATTTCAGTCAAAGTGCATCTTTTTAAAAAGTCAGTCAAAATCTGTTTCTCCTCTTTCTGGAGCACTGATTTCATACATCAGAGGCCATCCTTTGATCCTTATCGATTTAATGCTACCCTTTTTAGCAAATGAAAAAGAAATAAGATTTTGAGTCAGCAGCTCCCCACCACTTTCACTTTAATCTCACTTAAAATTTTTATGCTGAAGGTAGTGATAAAACAACAGACCTGACAGTCCAGTGATTATTGAATGCATTCCTTGTGATTAATGTTAAGATGGCCAATAACTGAATGATTTAGCCACTTAATAAGGTGCTTCAGTGCAAAAAAACCATGACAAAGATAAATAATACTTCTTGTGATAGACTTTTTATAGACTTAAAATTCCCAAAATATCTGTAGTATTATGTCTAAACATCCATTTTACTTCACAGCAAATATAGGAAATACAAGTTTAGGTTTAAAATTATTTTTTAAATTTCAAGTTAACTTTATTTATAGCTCTAAGGTAAATGCATATATTTCTAGATTCTGCATTTGCTGATACCAGATGTTTTTCTCAATAGAGAGCTCTCTTTGAAGTTAGCTTTTCCAACTGAAAGGCAAAATGAGGGCTAGATGTGGTTGGTGTCATTAAAATCTATTTAATTTTTAAGCCTGTACTTATTTTGGCTATACACATTCAAAGTTTATAAAAACAATCTGGAAACTGCTTTTTTTTTATGTCAAAAGATTGGGAAGCTGTCAGTCGAATGTGTAAGGAACAGAATAGGCAATGAGTGGCTTCTCATATTATATTCAATAATACCCATCATTTCCCTCAAGAGTCTCTATGATATTATACTGAAAAATACCTTTGATTCTTCAAAATGATATGAGACTGCTCTAGAAAGTAGGCTTGTTACAGAAAACCCACTAATGAGAGCATTTCAGTGGCCTGTCATCTATGTTGAATATTTATTTTTCCCAAGGTGCTATATTTAATTATTTTCCAATACATCTTTTTTTATCAATGAAAGAAGTACATGTTTCATTTGATTGTATGTTTCATAGAGTGTGGAACAGAATATTTCAACCTCAGTCATATTGCAGAACACATCAACTTTAAATAGCCTTCCTTGGGAAGTTCTCAGGAGATGTTCCCTTTGTATGTAGAACTTTAAAATAATGGTTCACTTGAAATTCAGTAAACAATATTTAGGGAGTCATAAGCAACTTTCCCTTTATTGTGACAGGAATATAATTACTCAAAATTACAGTTCTTAATTTGTTTCTCAACTTAAAAACAAATTAGCACTCAGAAGAGGATGAGAACATCAACACAAAAACATCATTATAAGAACATTAGGGTTTTATTTATTAATAGCATAAATTGATGGAGAAACTGTCCATGTGGGAATCAGGAAATTTCTTTTTTTTAATGTAGTTTTTCCTTCTATAACCTTAGTCACAATGCCTCAATTTCTTAAAATGTGTAAATGGGGGACCATACCACTGTGAGAACATAATCAATATAAATAATAATTGCAATAAAAAGATTGTGAACTCTTCAAAAGCTAGGCAAGGTGTAATGTCATTTCTAGTTGTATTACTTATAAAGGTCTTAATATTGAAAGCATTTATCAAATTTGTATATAATTCATTGTTGACATGCCAAGCAAGAGTTCAGTACTTAGTTTTAAGTGGAAATCCAATAAATTCTGAGGATCTCTTAACAGCAATGATTTTCTCTAGTAAAATGACAGTAATCATGTATATGTGTTGTATACACACTTTTTTCTTATAAGTTGTATTTTGAAAATAGTTTCCCTTCCAAATTTCAGGTGTAACCTCCCCCCAACCACTGGAAATGTTAGTAAAGATGTTGGCAGGAAAACCAATATTGTGACTGTAAATCCCAGTATCATAAAACTGAAGTAAGTGACATAACTGTTCAAGAACATTTTTACATTGTTTAACATGTTTCTTAATCTGAGCACTAATCTTATTACTGAGACTGTCTTGCAATACAGCTGGGATGGCTTTTGGGGAAAATTCATAAGAATACATTTGTAATATTTGATATTTTATGAAGGTTGTGGCTCGTAAGAACTATGACCAGTTGTACTTCTCCTGTTATAAGCTGAATGCTGCTAGTCAAATGAAAACTTATTTGTCTCTTTGTCTTTTTCAACTGTAGTCAAATTACTTTCTCATTTTTCTTTCAGAATTTTATCACTACTCTTTTATCTTGGAAGTAGTTTCTTGATTAAACTTAGTCTATTTAGAAACTTTGCAGAATAAGCCTTAAGAGAACCTGGCAAATTCAGGTTTTCTCTTTGGATAGTTTACTACAAAAAAATAATTCCCATATTTCATTTTCCACACTGTAACTACTGTAAAATGTTGGCTGGTTAACAAAAATCCCATACATAGTTTTACTCAATTGTTTTCATTAAAAGTTACTAATAATTCTTATTAATAGAATACACCTCTCAAATAATTTCAGTATTTCAAGAGAATATAAAATATTACCTTTCTCCCAAAGTGTGTTTTCTAAATACAAATGATTGTGCATACAAGTATATTTAAGGTATTATTAAATAAAATAATACTAAGGAATTATTTAAAGAAAAAATATTGAGCTATCACAATACATGGGGGAAATTGTTAAATGTATGTGTATTTGTATTTTTGAAGTTTTCTACAAGAAGCTTTAATAATGCATACAAAAGACACACAAATCACAAGTGTACAGCTCAACAAATTTTTAAATGTGTATTAAATATATATTTAAGAAGGTATATTTCTTATATCTTCTAGACATAAGAAAATATAGATACTTTCAATGTGTAGATATTTATTCATTATAAATTTGGAAGTTGTTTCAGCATCAGAAAGCAACCATAGAAAAAACTACCAAGTTGGAGGACAAAATAATATAAGAAATGTGTGTCCGCTATGGGTATAGCCCAGTAAAAAAGCAGAAATGAAAGCCCAGGAGTACCAAGAAAGAGAGAAGAAGGCCTAGGCCTTGATATTTTACATGATGCTTGTAGAGTTTTCTTTGAGTCCCCCAGTTTTTCTGTTTTGCATATAGTGTTATATAAATGGTTCAGATTTTTGGCCAGTGGTAAATTCAGCCTCATATTACCAAAGCTGCTACTTTGATTTTTACTGTTACTATTATTATTTAAAATTTGGCAGATATGGGAATTTAAAAGAAAAGAAAGCAGTATTTCTGGAGGACATTGCAACCTATGGAGACGCATTTCTTCTTCTGCCGGCATTTTCCTTCAGAGCCAACACTGGTTCCTCTATTTAAAGTGTATGATATGCTGAAGCAATCTAAAGCAAGACAAAAGGTTATATTTTTCCATCCTAAGTACCTGAAAAATCTTGACCTTTTCTGGAGAACTAAAGGTGTGACAGAGTATCGCCTGTCCTCCGGCTTGATGATCACAAGTGTGGCAGTTGAACTGTGTGAAAATGTGAAGCTGTATGGATTTTGGCCCTTCTCTAAAACTGTAGAAAACACACCTGTCAGCCATCATTACTATGACAACAATTTACCTAAGCGTGGCTTCCATGAGATGCCCAAAGAATATAGCCAAATTCTCCAACTTCACGTGAAAGGAATCCTCAAATTACAGTTCAGCAAATGTGAAATAGCCTAAGCAAAGTGTCTTGAAGTGGGAATGTTTTTAATATAGTGCAGCTGGTGAGTAACAATGTTTCTGGACCCTGAAAGAGGTGGTTGTAGAGGACTATAGGAAGAGCCCCCAAACATGGTCTGATCAGAGCTCCCAACTGCGCTTGCAACCTCAGCAACTCGCACATTTGTTCTGGTCTTCAGTCCTGCTCCCTGTCAAATGAAGACTATGGTATCTAACTCATATTAAGAAAATGTGAAAACTCTTGGCAGAGTACAGGTAGAGTCTCAGTGAATATTTCCTTGTTGGTATTTATGACAGTCAAATCCAGCCCTCAGCAGATGGATAATGAAAGGCAGGCCATCTGAAAGACCCTTTCACCAGAGAACAGACAAATTGCCAGTATTCCCAGGGGTTCTTTCTCTGGCAGGCCTATTATCAATAATGTCCATCTCATCTTTCTTCCTGTCTTAAAGTGTGTGTAGAAGAAAATTATGTATTTAAGAAACCATTGATATTCAGGAATTAAATCCTTCTCTTTGTATGGTAATATGCCTGCTGCTAATTACCTTCACTTAGGTCTTAGCTGAGATGATGCATTGGTTGGATTTTGGCCAGTTCTTTCCCTCCTTTATCTACACCTTTGAGTCACTCTTTATAATTCATATTAACTTCCTGCCTTGCTGTTAAATCTTTTCCTCTTCCACTGACAGAATCTCCTTCAAGGACATGAGTATGTACCACACCTGGGTTTTCTTACTTCTTGTCTCTGGGGTCACATGTTCATTTTTTTCTTTTTTGAGTTAATGAACAGCTACTTCATGCCAGACCCTGTAACAGGCTCCATGGGGGATATAAAGGTGACTCGGGCCTGCAGGAGGAGACAGATGTGCACATCATCAACAATGCTACAAGGTGGTAAATATTATTACAGAAGTTGTGAAGAGTACTATGAGGAACAGAGGCAGGAATAGTTAATCGATTTCAGTGGACTCTATTTCAGAGAAGAGGTGATTTCTGAATTGAACCTAGGAAATAGGTAAGGTTTTACCACATGAAGATTAAGGAGAGAATAGGGGAAAAAGCTGTCCCCACCTTTCTCATTCATCAAAATGAGGATACCTGAAGTAAAATCATGGTCTTTACCTCAAAAACTGCCACTCAAGGGTAGGATATATCATACATGTGGTGGCTTGGGCCCACATCTGTGAAATGGGAATAGATTGACTTGCTTGGTCTCACAGGAAAGCTGTAAGGATTAAAGCACACCAAACTTAATTCTCATAAAGAAAGGTATATGTTTACCTGAGAAATAAGACTAATAATTTAAACAAAAATATAAAATAAGGTTTAAGTAGATGACTATTACCATTTTCTCACCACTCCCTTACATTATAATAAAACCTGTTAATATAGCTCATCCCTGTGTACTGAATAATTTATTTGACTTCAATAAGTAATTGTGTGCATACTTTCCTGCTCATCTTAATATCATTGAAAGAAGAGCAGAACAAGAAGTAGAGCAGACTGGGCAGCATCCTGAATTACAAATACAAATCTGAATTCTTACCTTAGCCAGATTACTGTTCTACTAAATGTTCACTTCTCAGAGCACTCTGCTCTAAATTGTGCGTTTTGATAAAGTACATCTTTAATTTGGTTGTAGTTGACATTTGTGATGCAATCTTAGTTCACATTTTCATTTGTTCTTTCATAGCAAATGAAACCTATTAGCTCCATAAATTGATTAAAAGTTCATATATAAGTACTGTCCAAAAGAAACATGCTTTTAGTTACATTAAGTGTAATTCATTTATTTTTTGTGTTGATGAATAAGTGGATACTTCTTACTATTTCTAATGGATTTAATTAGTTCTTAAAAATCATCTAGCAATATTGGTAATGTCTTTTATGTCACTAGCAATGAATTATGAAAAATAGATCAGAATACTAATATTTTATAATTAGTAAAATGTTTCACTCACAGTGTTTCCTGAGTAGAAAACTTAAAGTTTTCTTTTTTGATGACACTGGAAACATGTGATTGATGAGTAAAAGTAATAGAATATACTGAATAAATCATTAAATATACAATGTGGAGATTGTTAAGTTATTTTAATAAAAATTACACGACTAGGACATTTAGCGCTTACTTAGGTTTTCTTGCATAGCTTTCTATTTTAACTTGAGAAATTTTCTCTAGAATATCAAAACAGAATCTTCAATGTCACTTATACAAATTTCAGAAATATTCAAAATGGTATAGGAGCAGTGCCCTAGTGACACCCACGATCTTGTAAAGGTTCAGTAGGAAAAATTTAAGTTTTGGAGAAAATTGTAGACCTTTCTAGATGAACACAGCTACGTTTGGTTTTTTGTCCAACATTTTTATCACCATGTTGGAATTTTACAACAGTCCCAGCAAGCTACATGATAACCAAAAGTCTTTGGTCCAAAAAAAAAGTGTACATTCTTTGTATCTCTTTCCCAAGTTGGTCTGTAGCTGTGTAAAATCATGACAGCTTGCAGTTGTCTGCCATCACCTGAAGCTCCCCTTTCCTGTCTGTGGTGCAGTCAGGGATTTTGTGGGGAAATAAAGGGAGTGAGATCCTCATTCGCATCATCATATTTCCTCCTTGGCAGTGGATTACCTTCCACATGTTCCATTTAATGTGCCAATAATGTCCTTTTGTTTAGAAACAGAATTTTAAATTTTTTTCTAAAATCTAATACAAGATAAATTTTGATAATGTAGCATGTCAGCTTTGTGAATTGCAAATCATAAGTCACAGTTCTTTTTGTTCCATAATGGTGAATTATTACAAGTTTTTCATGAAGACCAAAACAAAATGAAAAGCTATGAATTCCATCTTGTAGATTTATAAATGAACCACCAACAAGTCTGACTGTGACACACTCAGGAAATCTTTGGGTGTTATAAGCATTACTTAAATGTTGTTAGATGAATTGGATTTGATCTTTGCTATTAAAGTTCAGGTTATCCATAGATGTTGAAAATAAGATGGAATATTGCTGCTAGGCAGTACTAAACTCTAGTTAAGATTCCAGTTCATACTACCACATGCCACCAGTTTCTAGGGAGATTATTGGATTACATGATTCTTTTTTCCAATTATTATCCAGCATTACTCAGCAATATCACCAATTAACAAGATTCTAAAATAATTTCCATCCAAACCCAAGGAGAAGGCAAAAATACTCATTTAAGCATATAGTCCATAGTGCTGTATGGTCCCTGGAAAGGACTCCATGAATAATTGCATAGATATAAGTATTACTCAATATAATAGTTCTTGAAGTCTCTGGTGTTTTTTTCCTCCTAACAAAAGGCGAAGGCAAATAGATCATGACTTGTGCAAAAGAAGAGTTCCCTCTACATGTAAATTCCAACTTAGGAAATATGTGGGCTCTCAGCCAGGTCATCAGCCAAGCACATCTTTTTTTTTTTTTAGGACTTTCTTTCTATAGAATACTGAAGTAAGCCATAAATCAGACCTGTTTTGAGCTAGATTTTTCCTTACTTAACAAATTTTGTCAAATACTGTATCATGTCAAGTACCCTAAATCATTCCATGAATTTCAGGAAGCTTTGGAGAAATTGAAAACTTTTGTAGATAAAAGGTCTGTTTACATCCTAATTAGCTACTTCTGAAGTATAGTTATAATGCAATGTACAAAATAGTTATAACACTCAAACCATTTTATTTATGTAACATTGAGACATTGGGTATAGTCAGAGTAGGGTGAGGGCCTCTGGAAAAAGCAACACAGGATATTTACAGTCAGAGAGCAATGTAACTACATGCAAGGATACCCCCTACCAAAACTGTGTTAAACTTTAAGCTCTGAGTCATTCTTCAGTGAGATCAGTTAATATTCCCCAGATAAAGAAGATTCACTTTAGCATGCCCAGGCCTGTATGCCGTTTTTCCTCCTGACCTGATGAGGTGTTTTGCAATCTAGGCAATTAATAGTGGCAAGCAAGCCCAGCCATAAACAACATAGTAAAAGAAGGGAAGGATTCTACCTTAAAGATAGGATTGCATTTTAATACCCAGGAAGTTAAGAAGTAAGATTCTTAACTTACTCTTTAGCACACAGACAATATGTCAGCCCACCTTGGGGGCTGGGCAGGCAGTGTTTGATATGCTCCCAGACCAAGATGTGCCAGTATCTCCAGAAGAAATCAGAGCAGTAAGTTCCTTGTGTTAATTCTAACTATTCAAGGACCACTTAACAAATCCACACCCCTAAGCCTTTTATATATTCCTAAAAATCCTCAATTGCCTATAAAGCCCCTAGACAACTCACAACTACAGGCTTTCTTGTCCTCTCCTGGCATGAGCCAGGGGCTCTGTCCTTTCACTTTATTTCTAAATAAAAGCCTCTTCCTGGCTCTCCTACCTGAGTGTTTGCTAAGTTCATTCTTCAATTCCGCAAACAAGAACCCCGGCATCAAATGACATGGAAACTGATGATTATGCTACTAAACACTGAAGCAATTGCAGGAATTCACATGAAATATCTAAAGCACTTGACCTAAAAAGACTATTTCTTTTCTTATTCTTAAAAAAAAAAATCCATTTGGAGCCACTGGGTGAGTTTGAGGTTTCCAATTTGCTTGTGGCTGCAGAAGGCTGACTGCATAGTAAGCAGTTATCATTATCCCCTGAAAATGGGTGAGCAGAAATATTTCTCTTGCTGTCTTATCTGGGCCATCACTCTTGCATGAGTATTCTACTTTATATCAAAAAATGTGAGTGATATATGATAAAGATGCATTGGTTACATGAGAGAAAATACATTATTTTCAATATTTTTTCTGTCCCTCTTCCTCCCTCATTTTCAGGAGCTAAAGTTACACATATATTAAACCACTTGAATTTATTTTGCAACTCACTGATTCTCTATTTTTTTTTCTTTTTTCTTTTGTCTTTCATTTTGGATAGCATCTATTCCCATATTATCCATGTTATTAATATTTTCTTTTGCAGTGTCTAATCTGGTGTTAATCCCATCTGGTACGTTTTTCATTTCAAACATTGTAAAAGTTTGATTTCTGTGTTTTTATATATCCCACATCTATATTTAATATGGTCATTCCTCTCTGTTCTTGAACATGTAGTATATGATTATAACCCTCTCAATGTCCTTTTCTGTTAATTATATCTTCTGTGTAATTCCTGGATCTGTTTCTACAGATAGAATTTTCTCCTCAATATGATTTGTATTTTCCTGCTTTTCTGAATGTCTGGTAATTTTTTATTGAATGCTAGATGTTGTTAATTTTACTTTGGTGAGTGTTGAGTGATTTGGTATTCCTATAAATATCTCAAGATTTGTTCTGGGAAGTGATTAAGTTGCCTGTCAGCAAATTGTTCCTTTTAGAGACTTACTTTAGTTTTTGTTAACTGGAACCAGAACAGCACTGATCTAGGGGTGAGTTTTTTCTCACATCAAGGCAATGTCATTATGAGTTCCCTACTGAATGCCCCATGAATTACAAGATTTTCCAGTCTTTGTGTTTGGGAACATGAATTATTCCTGCCCCCTCAGGTTTCTTCTCCTTTTTGGTGTTTCTTTGCCCAGAGTCATGTAGTTCCCTTGTTCACATGTGCTGGTCAGCACTCAGATGGCACTAGAGGAGGGCCCTCTGCAGAGATTTCTCTCTGTGAGGCCCACGTGGTTTCTGCCTTGGCATCCCCAGACGCCTCGATCTGTCACCTGTACTTGCAGAGACCACTGGACTCTGTCTGAGTTTCCCCTCACTGTGCTGTGGCCTGAAGACCATCTGGGCAGTAAGCTTGTTCAATTGCAGGGCTCACCTCATTTTTGTTCCTTTTCTCAGCAGTCACTACCCTGAGTTGCCTAATGTCCATGTCTGAAAATCATTGTTACATTCGTTTTGTCCATTGCTTTCCCATTGTTTCACACATGATATTAATATGAGTCCCTGTCACTCTACCTTATCCAAAAGGAGAATTTCCAGGTGATTTTATTTTTATCGTGTTTGCCACCTATCTTTCCTTGGGGTTGCTGTAAATATCATCTAGGATTTCCCTTTGCCCATCCTAAATTTGAGCCTGTTTTTTTTTAAAACCCAGGGTTCTGTGATAGACTGACAGATTTCAGTGGGACCCCTGACTATATATAAAATATAATGAAAGTATTTTTATTAAGTGCTTACTATACCCTTGGCTTACATTATCTTTTTTTATTTAAACCAAGTCTATGAGGTGATTTTATTATCTGCATTTTATAGATGAGAAAGTAGGCTAAGAGAAACTAAAGAACCTGCCAAAGATACATAGTATACAAAAGTCAGAGCCAAATTTCAAATTCAGGTTGTTTGCCCAAAGCTAGTGTGCTTAATCAATATTTTATCTACCCTTTAGTTTTATTGTTGTTGATGTTTTATTTTGAAAAATAACATTGTCCAAAAATTTTAAATTATAGAGTTCACACCTTGGGTTTTTAATTTTTTAAT